CAGCTTAGTTCCAACGCGACAATAACAACGGAAAATGGGAGATGGAATAAAAAGCAATTTAAAGGGGGTCAGATAGTAAACTGCGAATGGCCGCTGGACTTCGTTTTGTAAGGGCTGTTCCTCATTGGCATTCTACTCATCAGTAGGTTATAGGTCTGCACAACTCCGTGAGTGTTGAAGACACTTGAGTCACAACGTGTTAAAGAATGTCTTCTGATATTACACAAGGCTTGCAAATACAATGTTTGGCCAAACTATTTTTAGTAAAGTCGGAGATTCATCTGGTCATGTAATAAGAACTTATCACACAGCAATGAAAACTCAGCGATACAGTTACAACGGATTTAATATGCGTGACAACAAAATGTGTTCATTAGGTAATCCCTTGGGGATAGATAGCACCCACAGATAGAGATAATGAGATCTTTGATTAAACTGTTTTGTCATCGATGATGAATTTCGGTGCTGAATTTGTATAGTTTCATTTCGAAAACAAAACTGCGCATATTTGAGGCTGAAGTCTCTGGTTCCAGTCAGATAAGTGCATCAACACTGTGTTCTAAATGAGACTTGTTTGAAAGCATTAGGTTTTCTCGGTTGGGTGGCTGTTTCGATTCAGTTTCAACTTGATTGACGACAAGGCAACGACACCTCGTTTTTCGGACTTTTGTTTGGCATATTTGAGGTTTTTATGTCGATTGTCTGAAGTTCAGTAGCCTCGGTGGGATTCGAACCCGCGCACGGACGCCGCCTACGCCTTTGTACAGCGCACGCTCTATCAACTGAGCTACGAGGACACAGTGATAGCACTGATCTTTTCACACTCGAATTACCCATCAAACGTACAGAGGCATATAGCATCCACCAGTTAGCGTGTAAGCTGAATGCCCCGACAGGTTTTCCTTGGAATTCACCGGAGTTCACCGAATGAGCTCCTAAGGCAAGGTTAACTGTTCATCATTCATCTTTTCTTTTTCTCTACGACTATTGCAGGTTAATATTTTGTTAAAATTCTCGATCCTACGTCGGAAGTGTTTTTCGCTATGCGCAGCCGTCCTCATTTTGATAATCCTCTTCACCTTGTGGCACATGGCACCTGACTCCTCCGCTGTTTGGTATCCCCCTTCGATTGGATCCACCAATAGCCGGAGGACTTCTGTCATTCTGGTAAGATATCCATACCAGTTGTTGAATGACTTTATTTTTCCCTTCGTGGTCCGCAGTTTGATAGGTTTTAACTTGATATCGTGAGGTACTCGAGAATGACTTGTGCTTATAACATCTGATTTGTTCTAAATCAATCGGTGTTCAGTATTTCGTCCAGTTGAATTAGTGAATTGTTTCGTGATTGTCGAACTTCCGGAACTAATAAAAGCTTGCATACACTGTACCAAATTGTGGTAGAAATAGCGAACGTCGTTTACATTTTTATCATGATCAATCTCTATTTAATTCAGTAATTTTTCAGTTCGTTCTTTTGTGTATCATCGAACGGTATCGATCGATTTAAAATGCGTTTTCGCTAGCCCATTCAATTTTTACCGACACCAAGCACAGTGTATAGTCGAGGTTGGGTGGTGCATCCGTTTCAAGCTCGTTTATTTTCCGCATTTTGAAGCCATGGAATTCTTCTTTGTGTATTGATGAAATTTGTGCTGTCCAGTAATGTATAGTTCAGGATTTTTATTATAAATACTATCCATATTAAATCTGATCTCAAGAATCATCATCTCTATTGAAAATAACCATCCAGGGCTGTTACGCCGGTCAAAATGAGCTTCTGGCTGGTTCCCGAAAAAGCACTCAATAGTTGCTTTTCACGACTATTGTTACCGTTGATCTGTACGAATAAAACTGCTACCATCATTGTCAGCTGACGGGGTTCACAATCCACTGTTCATCTCGCGATACGCGAAAATTGTACAGCCAAGTTTGGCCACTGGTCATAAATAGTAATTCACCTCTTGAAGTTGATCCATTGTTTCGTGGATCAGGTTTCGATTAATCACGTCCAAACTGCGGATAGAGACTATTATTCGTATTTTTGTCCCTCAATCCCGAGCTTCTCATCACACTTACCGTACGGTGCTGACTGGTATAATAGCAATGTGTAGACGGTCAGAACAATTCATGCACTGTCCATTTCCATGGTACAGCACTATGATACTAGTAATTATCCCGATTTTTTAACTTCATTTTATTTGGTAAATGACCGAAGTGCCACCAAAGTTCAGTAGTGAGACCACGGCTTATTAGAGGCTGCCAAGTAAAAAAAAGATGAAGAAATGATGCATCAGTGGCCTGTACTTTGGCCCATTTTTTCCCCTCATTTTTGTCATCATTTCATACGGGTTCCCGGTCATATGCTTTCGGTTTTAACACAGTAGTCTCTTCCAAATAAGCATAAAGATAAAAAGCAGTATTGATGCAGATTTCGTCGCGTGGCGCCATCGCGCACTTTCTAGAAAATTATCAATCTATCTTTGAGTTTTATCATGAGAGGCTATAGAAGACCTGACATTTTCCTCCCACACACAGGTCTTTTCAGGTATTGTGTGGTCTGATATCATTACTTTTACTATCTCTTGTATGACGGTAAAGTAAAATCATCTCGATCAAACAGAATGTTCGCACTGGGCCACCGGCATCCAGCGACAACTTACCAAATGTGCTGTTAAGTTGAGCTGAGTTGAGCACGTTCACAAAAGCTGCTCGTTTGAAACTAAAGACGAGGAAGGACAAACATTCATTCCTGTTGCTCCTTTTTATCACTGTACACTCGAACTTCTAACAGGACCATGTACAGTTCTTTTTCCATTCACGTTCCATCATTAATAGTGTTCGACTAATCTCAATACTGTTTGAATACTTGGAACATTTGGAAGACATCTGAGAGAACTTTCACGATATGATTTGTATCCTTAATATACATACTCATAATTGTCATCATATGTTACGCTAATACAGAGTACCAATGGTTCCACATCTGTCACTGCAATTGACTGGCTTCATCCGAGTCCCCAACTCCTGGTCAGTTTGATGGGTAATCACACACAATCAGCAATACCAGTAGGCTACAAGGTTCACACATTCTACTACGCCTGGTACAACTCACCGGAACCGGGAAAACCGCCCACAAAGGATCGACACTGGGTGCACTGGAATCATCCACGTCTTCCGCATTGGATTGGTCGGATTGCGCAAGGGTTTTCCACCGAACCGCATAATCCACCGGACGATGTCGCATCTTCATATTTGCCTAAGATTGGACTGTACGCCTCTGCTGATCCGGAGGTGATTCGTGCGCATCTTCTCATGCTTCGATTTGCCGGAATTGGTGAGTTTACGTGTTTTGTCATTGCTCTTTTGGACTTAGTAGTTGTGCTTTACCTCCGGAACGATATCAACCCTTACTCATCGTCATGTTTTGTAGTTCACCTCCTTAAATTTTAGGCTCTGTTTTTTTGCTTTTGTCACACATTTGGACCGACACCTGTGGCCTTGTCTTTTGTGTGTTTGAATCTCACTATGGTCGTCCTACTGCTCAGTCCACCGATTATTACTTTGATCTGAGCAACCTAGCAGCATCCTGTCTGCGAGAAAATCATCGAACTTTTTTCTTTTTACCAAGATTATTGTACCGTGATTTGGTTGGCGCACAGTTTGAACTCAAACCAACTAAATACCCTTTGACAGACTGCGATTCCCGTATAAAATGTTTACTTTTTTACATGCAATAAATGAAAGGAAATGGCTTCTTATTATTATGAATAATATTATTTATATTGATCAAACACCCTAACCCGTTCTGGTCACTGTCTTTCGTAATTCAAACCCCAATATTAACTCTGTTCCGCCACTTCATCAGTCCTTGTCCCCTTTAACTTTTTGTTTGAAATCCAACTCTTTCGTGCTACAGACACACTACTTACCTATAAATGCGGCCACTGGCTCTCTCATAAACGGACTATGTGGCTGAAACTTCGGTTTCCGTTCTCTGATCTTCTATTTGTCCTATCGTTGACCGGCACGGAGTATATCATTGAGACCAACTCTGAAGCCCAGTTCATTACCGAGGGATAGGGCAGCAATGTGACAGCCACGAGTCACGGGAATCTGCTGTTTGGTAATTCCCACCGGCAGTGTAATTCCCGTAGCTGAGAGCGGAAAATCCTTACTTGGTTAGTGATGACATGCTTTATGTCTAGAAAGTTGGGTGGCGGTGTTGAGTTTCAAGCCTGGAAACATGCGTATTACTTCATGTCCGTAACGGTCGCTTCAACCACATTACGCTGACTGTTTGGTTTGCTCTAAAGAAAACCGTTGTTCACATGCCTGTGGAATTTGCCCTCAACAGTACAATCTTCATTTTACTCTTTTATCCAAATAGGCGCCCAAAAGACAGCAACCAAAGCAGACACATGAAAGTGTATGGTTTATGATCGTAAAAACTGAAATATGAGCTGAATATACCATACTATTATTATTATTATTATCGTTATAATCTATTTCCCAGTTTTCCAGCGGTTTCCATCTCCTTATTTGACCTCGGTAATTCATTGATCAAGTTTGAGAAATATCAATTTTTTTGGAATTTGTCACAAGAATTCGACTGTTCATCGCATTTTGTCTTCAGTGTGATTTTAGACATCACACCACTATCATTTAACTAAAAGGCCATCAATTTTCTGGACGGGTAACGTTTTTCCATTATGTAATTAACAGACGGTATTTCGCTCGGTGAAAACTGTAAGATTACAAAACACGGGGGTAGCGTGTGGGTGGGCAGGAATTATACCCTGCGGTATTCTTTCAAACAACATTGTTTTTGAAGAAGTTGCTTAGGTTGACGAAAGCAAACTGCCTGTCAGTTGAGCTATTCTTTTCACTGGTGGTCATGGATTCTATTCATGATTCAAATTTGCTTCTCCTAGTTGACATGACGTCTATCGCGTCAATCACCCACCTTAACCTCTGATTTCCTTTCATTTTGACTTAATTTAACTCCGCTTGTCCTTTTTCCTGTTTTGCACTGGGTTGTTTTTTTGTATGGAAGCCAAAGTGACAGATTATATGGATAATGGTTGAATGTGGTCATTCTTTTAACCCCGAACTGTTGCCCCTCAGTGCATTAGTCAAACGAGCTTCATGTGAATGCCGCTATACAGATATTGATGGAACTCGTGCGACATGAACCTCAATTTCTGACTATTTTTCAGTTTAAATACTTCCATTTTGACAACTATGGGTAAGGGACATGTATTCCGAATTCTATCTCCCACTACCATGTTCGGGTGAAAGTCACCGTGTCGATCAATACCTTTAGGCATAAATTACTGGTAGTTGCTGTGTAAATATTACTAATGTCTTCCATACTTCTGTGGCAAATTTGAAATCACTGAGCCTCCGTGTTGTCGGGATCGATATCTTCACCCCCTTCCTTACATCCTGCTAAGTCTTCCTGTATGGCAGATAATCTCTGCTGAGGAAGACCTACTCACTGTCTTTACGTGATGCATATATTTTCTCACCAAAGTGAGAAGACGAAAAGCTAATAATATCCGGAACCACAACCGGATTTTGACCAAAAACTTGATTTCAAACCAAGAACCAAAGGCCGTGATTGGGTAATTTGGACGTTTGACTTCGTTCACAGGTCGTATCATCAGATAAACTGGACACCGCCCTCCGATGGATTGTGGTTATAACTCCAGTTGTACCGCGTTTGATTTGGTACATAACTGCGTGGTAAATTAGGCGATATGTCTATTCGCAACACAGACACACGTCCAGCAGTTTCCCGAGTAAATAAGCTTGTCAACAGGTCAGCAGGTAGGTCAACAACCGGTGGAAGCGTTACAAGAAAGCAAATTGCAATCACAACAGGGTAGTCAAACAGTCAAGGTCTCAGTCCACACGCAGAGCGGATCGATATTATAATAAAGTAAGTCCATATGCTGTGCGTGCGTGTGCTGACAGGCAGCATCGGTCAATCAATCAACTTGAGCATAGGCATGCGTGGCAAATGTATCAGTCAATAGTAGGCAAAAGCCCAGGATATTGACTTTCCATCTTCTTATTTTTATGGGAAAACACTTCCTTCACGTGAAGACTTTGATTGAAGCTTCCTCATTGGGAACTATTTCACACGCTTAGTCGTATACGAGCTTTCACCAGGCACAAAGGTACGTTTACCGGTCACAATACAAGATACCCATCCCCGATCGTACTGAAAGATACGCTAGCTATATTTTCTCATCGGTCAGGATACTTAAAAAGGTCTGTACGCGCAGTTCGAATGTGCAATCTGTGCGTTGATCATACACTTTGTTCACTTTATTCCCCCCTCCCGTAAAACAGACCTACTCCCTATGTACATTACAAATCATACTTACTTTCTACACAATTTCGGCTTAACAGAGATAGGCGAAGCTCGCTTCACTATATTTCGCTTCACGATGATGAGGATGATGATAATGATCACTCTTCCAGAGAGAGATTCACGACGACACACTGAGTGTTATAATTCCAAAAGGCGGTGCTGTTATTGACGATTACAGCTGGAAGGTCAGTAGTTTCGCATGCATAATACACAAATCTAATCAGAAACGTGTCATTGCAATTCTTTCCGACACAAAGGGCAGTTAGTAGTTGTTCTTCCAAACATATCACTTGATCCTCGATGGTCTTGTTATCTTTTTGATCATCGAAGTTACCTACTACTCACAAGTGAGTAGTATCTCACGACATGAGCACTGGCGCATTGCATTCACAATTCTAGTGANAGTGATTCTGGCAAAGCAGCATGAATTTCTCGATCCAGGTTAATCCTATTCTTGTGGGTCGTCATCAAGAGTCCTTGTAGTTTCAGTTTCACTTTTTACAACCATTGCAATCCCGCACTTTTATTCACCGTCTCATTAGTGTTCATTTGGATGAAGGAGTGAGGGTGAGATTGCAATGTTCAAGTCATTATCACCGTGAAAATAGAGAATTCATGAGGGTTGCAAAGAAATTGAGTAGATGCACGGTCACCACTGTTCACGATAATGCCGTATTACTCAGTGTCTCTAACCATGGATGACGCTGATCCCGAGGTCCCCATCCAGGAAGCCCTGCATGAGCAAGTCTCCTGATCAACATTTTCATACCCTTGTGTCCGATTTTAGTTTGGCCACCGTTACGTTCTTCCATGCACTGTCTATCTCAGCAAACTCCGCGTCCTGTGGCAACCTATTTGATGACATGCGCAATGCATGCCCCGACCAACGCAGTCTCTAGAGGTCGACCACTTGTTCCAGAGGGCGACTGCGATCACCTGAAACTCTGCGCCTAACCTCAGCATTGCTTGTGCCGTTGCCCCACCAAACTTGTGCAATGCTGCATAGACAGCGATGTTCGAACACCGAAAGTTTGATTTTATCTTGCTCCCTTAGCGGCCAATTATCTGCACTGTAAAGCGGCACTCGTTGAACTACTGTGGCACACACTTTACCCTTCACAGACAACCGGTTGTCACAACCGCACCACAAATGTCTCAAGTAGAAAAGTGCCAAACGAGCTTTCTTTCTGCTTGCCAGGTGAGATGTAGCTGCCCAAGTAGCAAAATTTGCTTTTTCTTTCTCGACTACTCCCCCAGATAGAGTGAATTTGTGGGCTGAGTAACATTTTACACTTTGAAGGTGCAAAACGCATGCCGAATATGGCTACGTTAGTATTCAGACTATGCAGAACAGCATGCAACTTGCCCGTACCGTCCTACTAGAGCTATGAGCCGCCAAAGTATACTGTCAGCGAATCTTTGTGTTGTCGGAGGCGTCTTCACTTTGTTAATCAGAGCACAGTCACTTAGATGTTCGATCATGAAGAGGTAGACTTTGATATAATCAATACATGGTCGCTACTTGTCTGTTGCGACGTTTAGAGTATAGTTAGTTATATCCGGATAAATGATATTTTTTCAAAAAGCAACTGGTATCCGAGGAACGTGTTAGGTGCGCAACTGTGGGCCACCGTCAAATAACGTCATTGCTATCTTCCCGTTGCCCTACACATAGCACACACACAGTCCTTGAACCCTGTTGACAGTGACTTAATCGCTACTGCCACACCACCACAAAGTTGAGATCCCGCGTCTTCCATGTTGGAGTTCCTCGGGAGAGCAGAGCTGTATGCTACCGAGCGCGTCCCCAGGTCGCGGGTAGGGGAGCGGCCGTCATCTCACGGCTAAACGTGAGTGATATGACTGTGTCGTAAACAGTGGCGTTCGTGCATCTCCTCAATTTCTGAACTGAACTTTTCCATTTGCTGTTCAACTCCACTTTCAACTTTCCTTTCTTCTCCTAATGTTCATCCAAATGGGCAGGCAAAAGACAGCAAC